GAAAAGCTTCCGTATGAGAGAGGGGCAAGTCAAACAGTGGCTGTGACTCTTAGGAACAGCCCACACCACCAAGCAAAACCCTCGTCCTGCCCTCCCACACTGGGATCTGCCATCCAAACCCCTTGCTTAGTGAGTACAGTGGTGTTGAGAGTGACAAGTGCTTAATTTGTAATAAAAGAGGTGACAGAGGTCAAGCAAGTTTTCTATTTTCATAACTGACACAGCAAGCCCAGACGTCTTGGGGCTAAGAACTGTCAGACATAGAGGTGCTGGGGCACAGCCCTGGCAAAAATTAAGAACTGAGGGTGTCAGTCAGGACAATCTGCTGCCCTTTACTCAAACATTAAAGATAACATACCCCTACATTCAATACCAAAATGATTTGTAACCCAACATCAGCCAAAATTGATCATGTGGCCAGCAGAGCTCTGCCTGATGGATACCAAGACAGAGTAGGTGGGTACATGTAAATGCAGTCTAGTCCAAAAGTCTTCTCCCATCTCCTGGCTCATCACTAGCTGTCAAGGGAGAGCTCATTCAGAACCTGCTTACAAACCATAATTTGACATAATTATATGAGGAGAGACAATTCTTGATTTAGTCCTAAGTTGAGCACAGGATCTGGTCCAGAGATAAATATAACTTGACCACTTGGAAATAGTGACAATAACATAATACAATGTAACATACCTGTGGTGGGAAAAACACTTTAGCAGCCCAACACTGGCATTTAATTTTAGAAAGGGAAACTACACAAAGATGAGGAGGTTAGTTAAACAGAAGTTAAAAGATACAGTGAAAAAAGTAAAACTCCTGCAAGCTTCATGAAAACTTTTCAAAGACACTATAATAGAGGCCCAACTTAAATGTATACCCTAAATTAAACACAGTAAGAGAACCAAAAAAGTGCCACCATGGCTTAAAAACCCAAGTAAAAGAAGCAGTAAGAGATAAAAAGACATCTTTTAAAAAGTGGAAGTTAAATTCTAGTGAGGAAAGTAGAAAGGAGCATAAACTTTGTCAAATTAAGTGTAAAAAATATAATAAGAAAAAACAAAATTTTAAGAACAGCTAGCCAAAAACTCAAAAAGTATTAGTAAAATGTTTTTTAAGTACATCAGAAGAAGGAAGCCTGCTAAACAACTAGTAGGGCCCTTGGACGATCGAGATGCTAAAGGAGCACTCAAAGATGATAAAGTCATTGTGGAGAAGCTAAATGAATTCTATACTTCAGTCTTCATGACTGAGGATATTGGGAAGATCCCCAAACCTGAGCCATTCTTTTTAAGTGACAAATCTGAGGAATTGCCCAGATTGAGGTGTCATTAAAGGAGGTTTTGGAACAAACTGATAAACTTAACAGTAACAAGTCACTGGGACCAGATGGCATTCACCCAAGAGTTTTGAAAAAAATCAAATGTGAAATTGTGGAACTATTAACTGTGGTTTGTAACCTATCCTTTAAATCAGCTTTTGTACCTAATGACTGGAAGATAGCTAATGTGATGCTAATATTTTAAAAGAGCTCTAGAGGTGATCCTGGAAATTGCAGACCAGTAAGTCTAACGTCAGTATCAGGCAAATTAATTGAAACTAGTAAAGAATAAAATTGTCAGACATACCGATGAACATAATTTGTTGGGGGGAAAGTCAATATGGTTTCTGTAAAGGGAAATCATGCCTTACTAATCTACTAGAGTTCTTTGAGGGGTCAACAAACATGTGGATAAGAGGAATCCAATGGATATAGTACATTTATATTTCCAGAAAGCCTTTGACAATGTCCCTCACCAGAGGCTCTTAAGTAAAGTTAGTTGTCATGGGATAAGAGGGAAGGTCTTGCAGGAGTAACAGTAGTTAGAATTAGGAGCTTTAGCTAGCCCGTGCCGTGTGTAGCTGCAGGCAGGTAGTTCGAACTACTGGGCATTTAAAAATGGCGGTGCCCGGGAACATGCAAATGAAGCCCGGGATTTAAATATATTTAAATATCCCGGGCTTCATTTGCAAGTTCAAATGACTACGTTAGCCACCCTAGTCCGAACTAGGGTGGCTAGTGTAGACATACCCTAAGTGACTGGGCAACAAAATGGTAAATGAAATTTAACGTTGATAAATGTAAAGTAATGCACATGGGAAAAAAATAATCCCAACTATACATACGTACAATATGATGGGAGCTCATTTAGTCTTAACTACTCAAGAGAGAGATCTTGGAGTCATTGTGGATAGTTCTCTGAAAACATCCACTCAATGTGCAGTGGCTGTCAAAAAAGCAAACAATGTTAGGAATAATTTAAAAATGGATAGAGAATAAGAGAGAGAATATCTTATGGCCTCTCTCTAAAACTATGATACACCCACATCTTGAATACTGAGTATAGATGTGGTTGCCTCATCTCAAAGATATATTGGCATTTGGAAAAGGTTCAGAAAAGAGCAACAAAAATTATTAGGGGGTTGGAACAAGTCCCCTATGAACAGAGATGAAAAAGGCTGGGAGTTTTCACCTTAGAAAAGAGGAGACAGGAGATAATGTGATGCCAATATATTAAAAGGGCTCTAGAGGTGATCCTGGCAATTACAGTAAAGGAAAAGTTATTTACTTGTTCCCATAACATAACAAGTAGAGGTCACCAAATGAAACTAATAGGTGGCAGGTTTAAAACAAACAAAAGGAAGTTTTTCTTCATGCAGCACACAGTCAACTTGCAGAACGCCTTGCCAGGGGATGTTGTGAAGACCATGACTTTAATAGGATTAAAAAAAGAGCTAGATACATTCATGGAGGTTAGGTCCATCAGTGGCTATTAGCCAGGATGGGTAAGAATTGTGTCCCTAGCTGCTGTCAGAGGCTGGATATGGATGACAGGAGAGGGATCATGTGATGATTACTTGTTCTGTTCATCCCCCTCTAGGGCATTGGCCACTGTTGGAAGAGAAGACACTGGAAGATGGACCTTTGGTCTGACCCAGTATGGCCATTCTTATATTTGTAAGGTTGGCCAACATTCCCAAAATCAATGTGCCAACTGTGTGGGAAATGTAGTCTTTGTTCATAGTTTTCAAACCTATTAAAATATTTCCACCTGAAAAAATGTATCAAACACTATATATGCTTTTAAAGTGTCTATTAATATTTCAATTCAAAATTCCAACCAATAATTAAGTCAGCAACACTTCAGATAACTATAATTGACCATTGGAGGGAAAGAAATTCAGAGATGTGACTTGGTTCTGCTATAAAAAGCAGCATTTATTCTGAACTCACAGCAAACAATAAAAGTGCTGTCATCAACCTATTGAAATGATATGCACAACATAATGAAGCATTTGCATTTTGAAGGCACACTTTAATGGCTTGATCATTGTTCAATTATCTGTCCTTAAACACCTACCTGGCAAGTAGCTGCTTCAGTGTTTATTGCTTTTTTTAATCACCTGCCACTGTGCAGGTTGAAAGCAGGTTAATTTCAAATCAAAATATGTGGTCTTAAAATTCTTTTTATTTTAGTTAACAAATGGGAGTATAAGCCATTCAGAGACAGCTGGTGTGTGGTCTTTATATCCTTATTTTTAATGAATTAGCCTTTACAGCTCGCAAGTGGAAAAGTAATGGTCCACATCTCCAACTCCCCATAGCTCCATATCAAAAGGGTTCTCTTAATAAGCTAACCTCCCCCTTCCTATCTCTGAAGCACTGTATTTCTACTTTTCTTCCCCTCCTCTTTTCCGCCCATATGGATAGAGCCCTGCAAATCCATAAATATCCACAGCTCAGGGACTAGAAATTTTAATTCTTTCAAAAGCAGCCTTCATACTAGTTTCTCCTTATTCCAGTATCCCCACCTGAGGCTGGAGCTGAGGAAGACTAACTCCCTGTATAGACTTCTGAGGGGTAGCCCAGTTAGTCTGCAATTGAAAAAAACTCAAACAATGGATGGTCTAGCAGCACATTAAAGACTAACAAAACATGTAGATGGTATCATCTTTCCTGGGTACATCTGAAGAAAGCAAGCTCATGATACCACCTACATGTATTGTGAATCTTTAAGATGCTGCTAGACTATTTGTTGTTGTTTGTTTAAAGTTTTGTCCCTATTTAGACACGTCCTAACATTAATAGAGAGTGACCTCTGCTGTTTAAAGCATCCTCTTGTATAACCCCGACCAAAATAAATCTTGCTCATCTGTGACAGCTAAGAACGCAGCTACAGCGAGTTGCTGTTACCATCCTGGTCAGGCGCGAGTGGGAAATATTAGGAAAACAATCATCGTACAGCTGGAGCCAGCCCATGTTAACTAACTCCAAGCCGCTGAAGCAGAAGGCGCGCGATGTAGGTGTAGCAAAACGCACGACCTGGTGGGGGCAACCTTTTGTCCCAAAGGCGCGAGGATTCCGCACGCCAACGCCAGGGCTGCGCTAGGGGAAAGGGGAGTCGTGCTTCAAAGACGGGGCACCGCTGTCGCCAACGCACAACAGAAAGTTGTCGCTGGGCTTCCCTGTCAGCGCCGAGGCGCGCCTCCGGAATGGGGCGGAGGGGCATTTTTGCTGACTCAGAGGGGAACGCGCTCCCTAGCACGACTCCTCAACCCTGCAGCATCCAGGCTTTCCTTGGAGGAGCCGCACGCGGCAGCCCCAGCCCCGCTTGGCGGGCGAGTCA